CTCCCGGTGAAACGTTGTGCAGCAAATAAAAAGACTGAGTTAGGTGATTGAGGACTGACCTGGGGAGATCAAGTTGAAGCTCACTGTGCAGCACTGATGATTAAGAAAAAGGGAAACCCGATGTAATGAATGAAATGTGCCTGCATGTGCGTGTGCAAATGAGCGTGGGACATGCTGCAACATCTTGACTTTGATGACTTCAGTAGGAGTGGCGGTGGAGGGGGGAAAAGTAGAGGCTTTATTCACACATATTTGAGCTGTAGCTTAATCCTGCCCTCTGGTCCATGGGGCACGGGGCTGGATTTAGATGCACCATTTTCACCTGACTTTATGAAGGGCCATCTGCAGGGACCCCTCCTGGGGCAGCCTGGGGCATGCTCACGCCGTGCCGTTGGCGCAAGGGCCCAGAAGCAGGCCAGGGGCTCTTTCTCAGAAGCCATAACGTCCTTTGCTGCAGATGGCATAGGGTTGCTCCTGAAACCCAGGACCTGTATTATTTGCGCCCCCCCCCAGGCTTGTAGGAAGCCCCACACTGCTTCTTTCCCTGCTGCTGCAGCTTGTATCGCAGAGTCTGCTGTAGGAGGTGGCCCAGCGGCAGGACTGCTCGTGCTGTGTCTGGGGCCCGCTGCAGAGCCCCCTGCTCTGCACCCCACAAACGCAGGCAGCCGTCTGTGCCACTGGGTGTGTGGGCTGCAGAAATAGTCCTAGCCGTGGAAACATTGCCTCCAAAGCTCAGAGAGGCCTCTCAGGACTTTCTGATTCTTTCTTCATGAATCTCACCTTGGAGGGGTTTTCTAGGATGCCCCCAACCACGGGGCCTGTAAAAGTTCCCCAAATGGGGATGTGAAGTATCCACAGGGAATATGGTCAATAACAGTGTAATGACTATGGATGGTGCCAGGCGGGTACTAGATTTATTGAGGTGATCACTTTGTAAGATACATAAATGTCTGACCACAGGGATGTACACCAGAAACTAACATAATATAATATAATATTGTGCATCAAATGTAATTTAAAAATAAAAATTTTAAAAAACGCATTGGCAAATGTTTCAGTGATTTTTATGCATTGGTTCCTACTTATGTCCCATCTTTACAATTTTTCAGGTTTACAAGTTTGGCTGGTGGAACATGTGCTAAAAAAACCCCACAAAAATAATCTCAAACCTTTTCAATGTGTTTCCAGGCTAAATTCTGCGGTAAAACTCTTCCCGGCCACTTCAGCTCATAACTATCCCTCCTTCTTCTGAGATCCTATAGTATGTTTTGTCTTGAAGCAAGCAAATGATAGTTTGAACTGTAGCTTTTCTTTTTTATTCATAGCTCCTGTCTCCACAACTAGGCTGTAGGTTCCTAAAAATGACAACTGATATGAATGAGAGCTTGTCATGTGGCGTGTACTCTTGTGAGCATGTTGCATGTAATAATTCATCAGTTCTTCCAATGTTTCTGTGAGCAAAGTACTATTATTGCCCCCATTTTACAGATGACAACATGGAGGCACAGAGGGTTAACCACAAACAAAAATACCAGGCAAACAAAACAAAACAGAACCCACTTTCCTAAAGGGACAAGCTGTGGAGCTGGGATTTGATCCAGACAGCGAACGGCTTCACCCGGCTAGTGCTTGTGACTTCTCACGTCACTGCCTATGGCTGGCAAGAGGGTCTGTTCTTGCCAGGAGAGTCTCAGCGGGGTGGGAGAAAGCATTATTTTTTCAGGAATTGTCTGTTTGAGAAAAAATGTTGTTTTGGAAATAAATCTGGCACAAGTGCCAATGAGATCACCTTGATTTTGTCCCTCAGGAATAAACTCTCGGAGTTTAAATTATTCAGAGACCTGGCTGTAAAGCATTTAAACTGTCTGGAATGCGTGTCCCTTATTTTGTGCTGAGCATGTCTGTGTGCAGGGGAAGGGACATCTCTTTATTCTCAGGCTCATCAGCATGGAGATTTATCTTCTTTACCAAGTGCTTAGGACTTCATGCCTATTGCAGAAGGTCATTACCTTCCAGGGGATTAAATCTCCTGAACTGACTTTCTGATATAAACCTGAAGACCCTGTCTTTTGCCATTCGCCGTGACACAGTTAGTGGGAAACAAAGGATTTTCTTAAGGAGGTAAGTCTCCTGCATTTTGGATAAAAAGAAATTTTGAAACATGGTGGAAAGACTTTCGTGAACACGAACTCACCACCCAAGTCCTCCAAACAGAGTGGTCTTTGGTGTTTGTCCAGATCTTCAGTACACTAACCAACCGATTTTTTTCTTTTACCTTTTAACCCTGAACTGTTCTTTATTTTTTAATACTATGGAGATACTTCAATGTCCAGGAAGAATTCTAGAAATGGAAAGGGCATAGAGGTCTTACCCCTTGTTTATAAAAGAGGCAGAGTGTCTATTCATTCGTGTTCCCATGCTGGGTAGCAACAGAAACAGCACCTGCCCCATCACCATACACACTTGCCTGGTATGTCCACAAACTCAAACCCTTGCCTGCAAGTTGCGATATAACTTTAGAACAGTTTCAGACACGAACTCAAAGCAGAATTCCCCCAACCACTTCGGCTCACGGTGATCCTTCCTTCTTCTGAAATTCTGTGGCATGTTTTGTCTTGAAACAAGCAAATACTGCTTTGAAACGTAGGTTTTCTTTTTATTTCTAGGTCCTGTCTCCTTAAATTAGGTGTAAGTTCCTGAAAATAATAACTGACACAAGTAGCTGGTATTACTGAGCAATTGCCTATGGAAAATACATTCCAGAGACGTTTTCTCAAATAATAATAACTTCAAGAGTCATGAACATTGTTTTAAGTATTGTTTTGTCACTATGGCATGTCAAGTTCCACATCTTAATCATCACATCATCCAAGTGCGGTATGTGTTTTGTTTTTGTTGTTAAAGGAGATTATTTCACTTGATTTTAAAAATTATATAAAACTACAATTTTTCCTGTGGATACTGCTATACCTTGGGATCCTTACTATAACTTTAAGCAGATTGGTATCCTCCTCAATGAATGACTTCAAGAAATAATATTTACCTGAAATTTTTGTCTAAATGAAAATGCTGAGCATTTTACATGTTATTAATAAAACAGATATTACCTGTCAGAATATGTACCTTAGATAGAGATATGGCAAATTAGGGAAAATAATTTTATTTTTTTGATGAACCACATCTATTCATACATTCATAGGAGTCACAGGTAGAAATCATCTTCAGGTGAAGTTCAGCTGAGCTACGGTAGATACTTATTTTCCTATGATTGCCAGGGAAAGTTGCCATGCAGTATTTGATAGGTTAATTAATCTCAGAGGAAGGGCATCTTAATGCCCCTCCCAAGGCATTAAAGTCCTTTATTTGAATTAATGGTTGGTGGAGTTTTCTATACCCCGCTTAACCCCAGTCTGGAATTCTCTATTCTTATTTTTTGTGCCACTTCTGTCTCCAGTAGTGGAGACAAAAAGTAAATCTATCTCATCTCTCATTTGCAGAGCAGTCCTTTGTAAACATAAATATCCTTGTCATGTGCTGCCATATAATCTTCTCCACGGGAAACAACCTCTCTGACACTTGTATACATTTCTTTCTAAAACTCTTATAAAGGGCATAGGTTAATGTACACAGATATGAATATTGTCTTCATAACATCTGAATGGCGCTATCCTTTCCATCAGGACAGAAACGGAAAGGGCTTGAGTTCTGTTCCATTTAGCCGATCCCAAGTGTCTATTGACAGCATCTGAATTTTTCATCATTTTTACAATATCACGGGTAACTGCATACCCAGGCCAGTATTATTACACTATCGTACAGTGAAGGTGAGGATATTATGCTAAGTGAAATAAGTCAGAGAAAAAATGTCCTGCGGTTTCACTTATATGTGGAATCTAAAGAACAAAGTAAACACAAAATAGAAAGAGATGTATAGCTGCAGAGAACAGACTGGTGACTGAAAGAGGGGAGGGGGGGTTGGGGACTGGGTGAAAAAGGTGAAGGGGTTAAGAAGTACAGATTGGTAGTTACAGAATAGTCATGGGGATGGTAAGTACAACTTTGGAAATGTAGTCAATAATACAGTAATAACTAGGTATGGAGCCAGGTAGGTACTTAAAATATCAGGGAGACCACCCTGAAGTACGTGATTGTCTAACCACGAGACTACACACCTGAAACTAACACAGAATAATAGTGAATGTAAACTGTGATTGAAAAATTAAAAAAATACAGAGACCAAACCTAATTTCAAATACGATTTTAGAACCCAAGGGAGTTTTTGTTACCCCAGCTCTAAGTTAACTTTTAAAAAATTGTTGCCACTGTTACAGATGTCCCCCATTTCCCCCCCTTAGCCTCGGTCTACCTGGCCTCTTCCCCCACACTGCTGTGTCCATGGGCTGTGCATATATGCATGTATGTTCTTTGGTTAATCTCTTCCAGTTCCCCCAACCCCCTCTCCTATGAGATCTGTCAGTCTGTTCCATGTATCCATGTCTCTGGCCCTATTTTGTTCACCAGTCTATTTTGTTAATTAGATTCCACATATAAGTGAGATCATATGGAGCTTTAGATTTCATAGTTGGACCCCTCTTTTGATGTTAGGGGGTAGTGAATAAAAAAAATCAAGTATGAATTGTCAACTTTATAAGGGATCTGTGCATAACCGACAGAAACTAGAACCCTGCAACACTGACAACCAGTCCAACACAGTTTTTATAACTCTCCTATGCATATAAAAAACACTAGTAATTCATGTAAAAGATAATTTTGTATGTGCTGATTGATTTTAAAAAAATAAATTGTATTTTTTATTTCTTATACAGGATGTAAATGATCAAATGGAAGACAAGAATCAGACGGCAGTGACTGAATTTCTCTTCTTGGGCCTCACGGATCATCTCCATCAGCAGATTGTCCTCTTTGCCACGCTTCTCTTCATCTATCTTGTCACACTGGGGGGAAACTTGGGGATGATCACTCTCATATGGATCGATTCCCGACTCCATACCCCCATGTACTTTTTTCTCAGTCACTTGTCCTTTGTAGATACTTGTTCCTCTTCTTCCATTGCCCCCAAGATGCTGGGTGATATCTTCGCAGAGAAGAGAGGCATCTCTTTCATGGGTTGTGCTGCTCAGATGTGGTTCTCTGGTCTTTTTGTGG